TTCTTCGTTATGTTTGTACTTTTCTGCAGTAGTCTTAACTGTTTGGTGTTGTTGTTGTTACCCGAGTTTATTTCAGTTTATATACTGTGATGGCATTTTGCTGGTAAATTCATCAGGTGGACAGGCAAAGAAATATGGAGATTAATTTTTGCTCTCAATATAAAACGCTTACAAACTGTGGTTAATTTCAAGGTTTTTTTTTTTTGTTGTTATTATCAAATGCCTTTTTTCCTCTGTTTAATCTTTCGAATGAACATCAGAAAAGTGATGGTATACAGAACTGCACCAATTCTTGATACGATTTGTTCTTTATTGTCTGCCTAGATGGACTGTTTCTTTCATTGCTGTATTGGTATATATATTAAATATACTGTCTTATGCAGAAAGGTTGCCCGATTTTACACTGAAGGGGCAACAGTTTGCCGATTCTGAAGCAAGCTAGAGGGAGGACAGAAAAAAAAATGATGCATTATTCAGCAGCCAAAGTGTTGCTGTGCTGTTCTTGGCCGTTGAATTGTGCTGTCCGTCTGTTGCTCCACTTTAATTCTGCCATAGCACTATTCCTGTTCTGTAAAGGTTGATCGCCGTTGACACGGGTACGTTGCTAGCCTTGATGTCATCGTTGGTCGATATTATATATTACTGTTTAATAAAGTCCTTCTTATTACAGAACTTTGTGATAAGGAACTGCGGATAGTTTTTGATCAATAACTTTTGTTTTTTTTTTTTTTCATTTGCTGTTGGCATGGAGCGTAATTTCATTGATATTTTTCTCACTGTATCTTGTGCTGTCTTTCAGCAAATTTTTTGTGGCCAAAGTCTAAAGATGTTTTTGTTACATTATGCATATTTTTATGAATATATTTTCTTGATGCTAGCAAATGGTGAGTTAAAAGGCTTTTTATGTATCATGTAACTGGTAATGTTTTATAATTTTTGTTTTTGTTGTTTCTCCTTTATTCTTCTTTCGTCTGCCTTTAACATTTACCGTAAATCTTATGATTACTTCGCTTTTGCTTCAGAGAACCTGGAACAGTGAAATAGATGAACATTTTATTTACTCTTCCCTGCTAAAATTAGTTAAAGAAATATCGGATTTGCATCATGTTTCGTTGGCTTACGCATATTCTATCATATATACTTGATTTACGTCTGACAGTTTGATACATTTTTTTTATTTCGCATTTAATTTTTTTTTTCGGTGTTTTCTTTTTGATTGCCATAGTAATATGGTTCTTTGAATTTCTACATATCACTAGTGTAGTTCGGTACGATTCGGCAGAGGTTACTGGAAGATCTTGTATGTTAATACTGCACTGTTATGCTTTGGACTTGAACTGTGATGGAGGACTATTATTAAAACCAAGTTTTTGTATTAGAGTTGGTGTTACAACATGACAAGGGCATATGAATTAATTTGTTTTTTTTTTTTTTCTTTCGTTGCTGGTGTTGTTGTTGTGGTAGTGGTGGTTGTTGTCGTTGTTGTGGTGGTGGTAGTGGTGCTGCTGCTGCTGTTGTTGACTTATCGTTTTCAGTTTCTTAGCCTTCGATTTCGTTTATCGAATTTGTTTCTATGCCTACGTTCTCTTTTGGTCAAATTGCATTGTTGACGTTCTCAGTGCTCAATTTCCTTGGTACGCGAAGACTTTACGGTCTTTCATGCCGTTACATATATACGTATAATTCTTTCGTCGTTTTGGGATTTCGAAATACAACCGGAGGAAGGTTTTCGTTGAGTGTTCTTAACTGAACGTTGAGTTTTAAAAGAGGGTTTGTCTGAACTTTTGTGGTCTGCGCACTTGCTTGAGCCATATTTATTTATTTTTTTGCTTATGTATTTGCATTTTTCACGGCGTTGGTTTCTTACCACAAAGTTGAGCTTATAGTGGAAAAAAGTTATTTGAAGATGGATACTAGTTCACCACCGCCATCGTACGCTGAAACTATGCAACAGAAAGGCATTGAACCAAACCCTAATCCAGCACCATACCCGCCGAATCCAACATTTACTTATCCTGCAAATCCAGTTGGTGCAGAAGTTCCATCATCATCTGTTCCTCAACCGACACCTCCGGTTAACGTTACTTTGGTGCAGGCAACAACGCCATTATTTGGTCCTCATCCTGTCGCGACGGACTGTTTCTATTGTCATGTTAGTTGTCCTTTTATTTTCTAATTTCCTTTTGCTCTTACAGGCTTTTCTGTAATTTTAAAAACATGAGTGCTTCAAAAGTTCCGAGTTACTGACGTGCTTTCTTTCGGAAGATTGAGGAACAAAATCATTGAGTAAAACTGCGTCTATTTTGGTCTTCTTGTTTTTTTATTTTCTTTCACTTTTAGTGGTGTGTGTGACTTTCACTGTACATTCTAGACGATTAAATTCGTTCGGAGTTGTTTGGTCCCACTATGGTTATTTATTTACTTATTTTAGGAACACGTTGTGACATCTACAGAATTCACTCCTGGCTTACTGCCCTGGATAATAGCTCTAATACTTTTCTTTCTTGGGTTTCTGCTTCTAATTCCTTGGTGCCTTTGTTGTATTCCTTTCTGTATCGACAGTTGCTTAGATGTAGTACATAGATGTCCGAACTGTAAACGTGAGCTTGCTAAATACAGAAGAATCTGATTTTCTTTTTATTTAAACGTGTTTTCTTTTCTTTTTTCAATGTAATTTTTGTTTTTTTTTAAGATGGCATAATCATAATCTTAAGCGTTTGTACGTTAAATAATTAAGGTTATCTGTGTTCAGAAACTTGGGTTATTGTATATATTTGTGCCTTAAAGTTTATGCAAGTTAATTTACAAAGCGTCATTTGTTAATTCATGTGACGGTGCATGAAGTAGGTTTGCTATTTTCTTAAGCTGTGTATTGATTGATAAGTTTGTATCTGATTCACAGAGGATCGTCGTTAACTACCCAATAAAATTTATCTTTTCGAATGGTGATGGAGTGAGGCGTCATAATGCGGAACGGGTGTTTCGAACAGATCGATAGTTAGGGGAAGATTACTCCTTTTTTTTT